ATATAGGAAGTCTTACTTTTTTTTTTTTTTTTTGGTGGGACTGGGGTTTGAACTCAGGTTTTCACTCTTGCAAAGCAGGTGTTCTACTGCTTAACCCACACCTCAGCACCACCCCCTTTTCACTCTGGTTATTTTGGAGATGGGGTCTTGCAAACTATTTGCCTGAGCTGGCCTCAAACCAAGATCCCCCTCATCTCAGCCTCCCAAGTAGCTAGGATTACAGGGATGAACCATCAGTGCCTGGCAGGAACTCTTACATTTTAATAGTCATTAACTTGCCTGTGCAGGCAGCCTCTAAGACAGGCCATATGATTCTCACTTCTTGGTACCCTCACCCTGTGCCAATAATTCCCTTTCCTGAAGTGAGAGCTGAGCTTATGGACTCACTTGTAATGAACAGAATAGGACAGATGTGATAGGATGTCACTTCTGAGATAAGATTATATCTTCTGTCTTAGGCAGTGTCTCTTACTCTTGCCCTTTCTTTAGTCATTTGTGTTAAGGCAGCAAGCTGCCATGTTGTGAACAGCCCTACAGAGAGGCTCTAGCCAGGGAGGAACTGAAGACAGTCCATCATGGTGGGAGTGATCTTTGAAGAAGATTCCCTTATGGCTGTGATCCAAGGGAATGGCAGCTCTGGACTGCAACCTCTTGAGAGATCTTGAGCCAGAGGTACTCAGCTAAGTCATGGTCCCATTCCTGACCCACAGAAACTGAGATAATAAACGCTGCATTGAGACATTCATTAGACAGCCATAGGTAAGGAATATACTGCAAGATTTGAGTATTAAACAGGCTACAATTTAAGCTGCAAATAACTAATGCAAGAAAATGTGACAACGAATTCAATCACCAACACCAGATTTTCTAATTTGTCTTTGTCTCTTATCTACTTCCTTCTTAGTAAACACAACTTTGAGGCAAAGGTTTATCATATTTTTTAATTGAAATTTTCATTGAGATAATTGCAGATTCACATGCATTTGTAAGAAATAACACTGAGCAATACCTTGAAAATTTTGCTCAGTTCCCCCATTGGGAACATGTCACAAAACTATGGTTTATTATCATAATCAGAATACTGACATCAATACAATCCACCCATTTGTTTTGGATTGCTCAGTTTATTTATATTCATTTGTGTATGTGTGTACATTTCTTACATTTAAATTTTCTCACATATTCAAATTACATCTTCTTATAATTAAAATCTAGCCATTATATTATTCCTTACAAATGTCCTATCTGATGGCAAAAGTTGTTAAAAGACATAATTTCAAAGTTTATTTCACAGCTTCCTATTAATAAAACTGAGAATGGACTCAGGAACAGAAAGTAATAAAAAGTACTCACAAGTTATGTAATTGTCAAAGGAAAATTCACTTACCCTGAAAGTTTTCTTGAAAGCAAACTATAAAATAAAATGTTACCCCTTTCCCCAGAATTCATGTATTTGTGTTTAAAATTCAGATGTGAAATAATATTAAATGTGGTTGAAATTTTAACACGGTCTCTTTTTCCTCTATGAAAGAAGTGAGAAGTTAATATTATTTGTGCAATAATACCTCAGGAAATCAATGTATCCAAGTTTTTATTTTGTGGTCAGACAGTGTTAAAATCCAACTTTCAACATCTAAACACAAACAGCCAAGGAAAAAGTCAAGCTGCTTATGAATCATGCAAAGCCAAACACTTTTGCATAAAAGAGAAACCTTAGAGGAAAACAAAGGGATACCTACTTTCTGCTGCTAGGAGTCCTAGGAGGAAGGCAGCGTATGGACAAACAACAAACAGTATGATTTTAGAGCAAGCAGGTTATCAAGCCACAGCTGGGCCCACTAGATGAGCCACAAAAAGCACAGTCCCCAGCTGACCCTAAAGAAAGCCCTCACGTTCCCTGAGCACACTCAGGAGGACCATTTAGGATTTCAGACATGGAACACTGGGTTCTAATACTGACTTCTTAGATTTGAAATATGACAACAGAATATTTCCACTTTGAATATTAAGTAACAAAGGAACAGACATTGTTTATCATAAGATTAAATTCAATGAATTCTAATAAATGCATAATGGATGAATTTCGATAATCAAAATAGAATATATCTCTTATAAAACTGTTTTACATTGTAAATGACACATCTAAACACATTCAACTTCTCTTTAGATGACAAATTGGGAAGTTGATGAGCTTCAAAATTGTGATTTTAAATATTCATATTGTCCTAAATGCATACAAAGTTTATTACTCATTGCCATGAGAAGATTTAATCTAAGGAAACTATATGCTGTAATTTGTGAGGAGGCAGCTTTCCTACTCTTCTCAAACTTTGGTATTTCATAGACCAGTAGAATTTCAAGAAATTTTGGGTGGTAAAATTAGGAAGGCCAGTTATTAATTTTGTCAAGTAAGGTCATTAAAATTTGACCTACCTATCATCATTTCATAAAAAAGACTAGAAAAGATATTATCTGAATGTGGAACACACAAACATCCATGTAAAGAAAGGGCAGGTGGTGACCTTAGATGGTTCTCTCTCTTTCTAACCCTTCTATCCTATCCCCCTGCATCCCTAGTCTACAAGTACATGTTCTGTGATCATTTCTTTATTTTTTGCCAAAGGCTTGAATAAACTCTCAGTTAATAATGGAAAGTGCATTATGTTTTGTACTGTAAAACAAACACATAGAAATTTAAACAGAAAGACACTGGAAAGTTTAACTTTGGCAGCTAAAAACAAATGGGGTAGAGTTTAAGCATTAGTATAAATAGAGAAGAATCTAGAATTGAAAATTAACAAAAAATATTTAAAAGTGAGATGAAAAATAATGAAAAATGAATAGACAGACATTTAAATTTTTAATTTGTGACAGTGTAAAGCTTTGAGTCCAGACAAAATATAGAAATGGCTTTCTGCAACCAACCATATGATCACTACTGTTGGCTGCAGAAAGGACATGTGATGGCAGGTGGCTATTTGATAAATGATGCTGATCATAATAGAATGCCTTCATTTACATGGCTTAGTACTAAAAATCAATTTTAGTAATGTGTGAATAACTCCTGATAGCTATGTGAAGTTCAGGAAAACGTAATTTTCTTCAAAATTTCCTTTGCTTTTGACTTTTGAGTGTATAAAAATTTCCTCTTTATTTAGGGTGGGTGATTAGCATTAAACATGTACACAGCATTTTAATTGTCCATTTTTTTATTGGTAGCACTCAGTGCCATTGAAAAATACTTAGGGCAGGCATTTGGCAAGTCAAATGAAAATGTAGACTGCCTACATGAACATTAAGATCCAGGAATTACAAAAAGAGGAAAAGAAAGAAAATAAAAAGAAACGGAATAAAAAGAAAGGGAAGATAAGAAGGAATATTTTATTGTGAGCAATTAATATGAGGGCTTGCACCTGCAAGATGGTATAAGAAGTTTCATTTTTGTTTAAAAATCAAGTTCTATAATCAGAAACAATTTCAACCAAATCATTTAAAGATTATACTGAAAAAATGGGAAGATCAGGCAATAAAATATTTAATAGAAAATACATGTTTATAAATACAGATAATTCTTTCCTCTAAAGCAAAACCCACCTTTTCCCAGAAAAGAACACTTAAGAGCTCATTAAATTCTTGCTAGGCAGAGGTAAGTATTAATTAAGGGCCAATCCTGAAGATAGGGTCTATGAAGCCATCTGCAAGGACCATACTGGTCTGTAGGCCCATTTCTAAAGATGAAAGTGGTAGTAGAGATGCTGACCTCCAATCTCAAAGAGATAATTTATCCTAAATACATTCCAAATTGTGACTATATCATGTAGTTACAGCACAGCATAAAAACTACTCCTAGATCCACTCCATCTGAATAGAGTCAACTGTATGAGAAGAAGAGATAGCAGGGAGGGAGCAAATGTACTGGAAATTTAAAAAAAGGCAGAGACGAGAAATGGTAGAGAGCTTTGGGGACCATATGTATAAACACAACCATGGCCCTGCCTTCTGTGTGGTAAGGGCAGCACAAGCAGAAGACAGCAAAGCTTTCTCCTCATAGTCACTTCTCTAAGATTCCCATTTCTGAATATTTTTGGAAATTACCTCCACCCAAAAGAGGAAGTTTCATATCCCAATCGGTAAAAGTCAAAATGAGGAACTAGATACCCATTGGGACAGGAAACCTGATCCTGTCATTTTATACAAGGTGTAAGTACATACTAATTGGGAAGAAAGTCTGAGTATGTATATGTACATACATGTGTAAATAGAGGACAGAAGCATAAACAATGACATATGCCCCTGGTATATGTATGGTATATGGTGTATATGGTATATATACATACATATATACATATATGTATCCTATGGATTTTTAGCAAGTGATTCTTGGGAATCCTTCATGGTAAGGCAGAAATCTGAGTCCTTTGTGAAATGATTCTGTGAACACTAGCAGGTTTTTTCAGGAGTATCTATACACAATTCATCAAAACAAGAAGCTTTTCTAAGTTCTTCCTCCTCGAACACTTGTATACATGTGTCAGAGACTTTTATACAGAAAGAAGAACTTGATACTTGTTTGGAGATAAAACTCGCAGGACAGATTTATGTGAGAAGATTCAGTTCTGACTTAGCCTGACTGGCATGGGGAATGCCACACCCGAAGTTTCTGTTGAAGGGAAAAGGAAAACATAAAGTTCCAGGAAGACTGGCTATGGCATTGGGCTGGATGAAACACAAGATTGGGTTGTGAGCACAGAAAGGGGAAGAAGTATTGAGGTAAAAAGAGAAAGATGAAATGTGGTTTTGGAGCAGTAGAGAATGGCAACGTTGGTATTCAAATGAAAAGGAACAAGACACATGTAAGTAGGATTTAGTTGCTGACAAACTTCCTTAGAATCTGTTGGAAGATTTGACTAAATTTACAGAAAAAGTTTATTAAGAATGGAGGAGAAAGGAAGCAGATACTAAGTGGTTTACATAGGTGAGTGAATGAATTATCGATTTACCTGAGGAGGTAGGGTCTTCAGAGAAGTCTGGTAACTCTTCAGGGGGGTCCCCATAGAAAGAGTTGAATTTGTGACTTGACACAGCAGCTAGTACTGCACCCTATAGCAACGAGATGAAAAATACTATTAAAAGAGACAAGTAACACAAATATAAAAAGTTAATTAAATGGTTATTTATCCTAAGGATTATTCAGAAAGTCAAATATACAAGAGTTGTTGGCTAGAAGACAGGTAGCTTTTAAAATGACTTAGCATTTTTTTAGAAAATAAATTACACTTGCATATACCAGAATAACACCATTGGGAATCACAAAAGGGTATGAACTGATGACATCTTGAAATTAAACAGGTACTACCTAATGGAATATTCTGTAATCATTATAAAAAGATGCTGCAGAAGGATGGTTAATGAGTTAGAGAGATGTGTGATAAATTACATGAAAAACTGTTTTAAAACAATGTATAGTCTGGTCTCACTTTTGGAAAAAAGTTAATATAGATACAAAAGAGTAAGCATACACCAGATTTTTTTCTGTAGTACCAGAGTTTGAACTCAGGGCCTTGTGCATAGTCAGGTGCTCTACTGCTTGAGCCATGCCCCAGCCCCCAGAATGTTAATGGTATCATGTATCATTGGGTAGAAGGACTATGAGTTGTTTTTATTTTTAAAATCTTTTGTCCTCCTTTCTTTTTTAATAATGACTATGTGTTACTCTTGTATGTAAATTCTCAATTAGGCCACACATCAGAATCAACTACATGTGATTCTTTTAAGCCACATGCATAGTCTCCTTTGAGCCCTAGCTGGGAATTGCTACCATACTGAGTGCCTGACATCTCTTGGGACTGTTGAGTGGAAAAAGGATGGGAATTATTGTTTCAGTAAAAGGACTTCCAAGTCTGTTTGCTAACTCTTGCCCTATTCCAGCCACATGGAACTGCTTGAGTAAGTCATTAAACTTATCATCTGTAAATTGAGGATATTAAAATAGACATACTTTCCTTTACCTTAGGATTACCAAAAGTCATAATATACATGAAAGTGCTTTGCAAACTGTAGAACATTTTATAAGTGCAAATCATTAGTATCTATGAATATGAGTGTAACCCTTTGCTGTTCTACACAGGATTGCTCATTTAAGCAGTTTAAGTATCAAGTCCCCTCAGTTGTCTAGGTCTACAGTAGTCTTGCTCTAAGTTGTAAATATTGAACTATTGATTTTTTTGGTAAAGAAACATATATCTGTTATGTATGTAGGCATTTGTTAATAAACACATGAAAACATCAGCAGAAATACATTTTCACAAAGTTCACTTTTGGGAGGCTCATGTTAGGGTTTCTTTCTAAAAATATAAATTGAAAAGAAGACTCGAGAAAGTGAAGAATCAACACTGGGGGTGGTGGTACATGCCTGTAATACCAGCACTTGGGAGGCTGAGACAGGATGATTGCAAGCCTGGATACCTTATCTCAAAAAAGAAAGAAAGAAAAGAAAAGAAGGTGAAGAACAAAAACCACAAGCAATCTTGATTCTACCATTCTATACAACTTTCTAGATTTCCAGAAGTTCTGGGTTAATGTGAGAAGGTTCTTATGTAGAATTATCACAAACGCATTGAAAAAGAAACAGCAGTGAATGTTGAGTTCTTCTTTCTATAGAAGAATTTTGTTTCCCTTTACATATTATACATGTTCCCTAAAAGCTGGGTGGGAATAGAATTTTTATATATCAAATCATGTTTCCCTTACGCTGAAACCAAAATTTTAGAAGAAGTTTTATTTTTATTTTCAAATGAAGTTCAATTGAGTTTCTTAATGTTTTATATTTTAAGGGCCTGTGCTGGCTATCACTATAGTCAAAGATCTACAAATAAACACTTAAACCAATAAGGAAGCACGATTTAAAAGAGCCCCGAGAAGTAAATACTTTTGAAACAATAGTAGGAAGTTCCTAATTTGTCTGTCTTATGACTAGCAGTTTTGTTTATTTAGTTCTCTAAACTCAGTGACCACACATGGTCCAAATAGTCAATGCAAAGGTATTATGTAAAACAGCAAAGTAGTTCCAAAATAGTTCACAGAATCATAGAATTCTGTTAGGGTTTGAGAGTTAATCTTAGAGATGGCTCCTTCTAAGATGGAGCAGATGGGAAAGCTGAGATCTAGAGAGGCAGAGAAGCCTGTTAAGGTCACTGTCAACGTACAGACATAATCAAGGATACACAGAATTGAGGGCCACTGACTACTCTCCCCAGGTTTGGGTTTCTATTATACCAGGGGTCATCATTTTTTTTTTCTGTAAAGGGGCAGAGTAAACAGTTTAGGCTTTGAGGGCCATGTGGTCTCTTTTGTCAGTAGTCAGCTCCATACTGTACCATGAAAGCAGCAACAGACAAAATGTAAATGAATGTATGGTGCTGTGTTTTGACAAAACTTTAAAAACAACAAAAAAAAGGCAATAGGCTGGATTTGGCCCCCAGATAGTAGTTCATACTGCACTACTGCTGTTGTTGTGGGTACATGACAACTCTCCAAATTTTCTGGTTTATTAAACCTGTAACAAAGAAGTTTTCTATCAGCTTTAATTTAGAAGGTATACTTTAGTATGTTTTAAGGATGAAACATAGTAATTTTGAGTTACAACTATTTATAATGTGTTAAGATAAATAATATTCCCACTATAATTTTCTACTTTTAAAATTCTGGAAAACAGCATTCCTAACCCGCCTTTTCCTACTTATGCACAGTTCCAGAATGCAAGAGACTCATCAGTAAATTGGCGGAGCACGCAGGGTATACTTTTGCAAGTTGCAAAATCAATAAAAGAAAATTGTAGAAAGTTTTCAGAAACCTCCCTTGCTTTCTACATGTACAGAGAATAAGTGACTTTTGCCTCTTAATTGAATCATGTGGTTTCAACTCACCATTTTCTAAACGATAGCAATAAACTCTCCTCAAATAAGAATATTGCTTCTATTTATATAAAATTTCTTTGACATGCCTCAGGGAAATGTGCTTTTCTAGGGTAGAAATAATTCATGAAACAAGAGGGGAGACTTCTAGAACAAATTCCCTGCTGAGCCTTCCTTCTTCCCTAGCTAGACAATTCCTTCAGTAGCTGACACCAAGGTGAGAGTGCAGGTGGACCCCCTTACAAGCCCAGATTTTCCTGACAGACTAGATAACAGGTCTGTTTCATGCATCCCAATAGTGAATTTCAGAAAACATGATCTATGCATCTAGTCTTATGCTCAGCACTGTGTAGTTTATTAAAGGAAGTATTGTTTCTAGAGTTTTTTTAACTGAAGGATTGACATTCTAGAGCTTAGTATAAAATCTGAAATTAAAGGAGGAAGAAATCCAATACATAAAATATTTGGTAACTCAATGGGGGAAAATAAACCTTCCATCATCAATCACAGAGATGAGATAAAATAATGAAGAATAAAAAAGAAGTATGTGATAAGAATTTGAATCACACTCAAGGCTCCATAAACTTTGCTTATCTACAATTGCAAAGACAGTATGAGAAGGATGTTAAAGCTTTCTAATTATCCAAATAATTTTCTCATTAAAGATTTGTTGGGGATTAGGGTGTAGCTCAGTGGTAGAGCACTTGCCTAACATACACATGGGATCCTTGGTTCCATCCCCAGCACGGCAAAAAAAAAAAAAAAAGTTGTTTCTTACATCCTGATGAAGAAGTTAAGGACCAAATGAATGTGGAAAGCAACAATTTGCTTGAGCCTTGATACCATTATAACTAATAACCAGTAGTGAGCAAAGGCTCATAGGTAAATAAAAGCACTGCTTTATATATTGGCATAAAATCTTACAATTGGTTTAAATTTCTGCAAAAACTTTGAAGTGGACTGTGTTGAATCTATAGATGAATTTGGGAAGAACTGCCCCTTAATTGTACTGAGTCTTCTGATCCATAACTAACTCTCCATTTATTTAGATCTTCAATATTAGTTGACAGGCCTTGCACTTTGTTAAATGTATTTCTAAGTATTTAATTGTTTTTGATGCTATTCTGAATTGTTGTTTTTTAATTTCATTTTAAGACTGTTCTACCCTCCTACACTGCTGGTGGGAATGTAAACTACTACAACCACTCTGGGAAAAAATCTGGAGGCTACTTAAAAATCTAAACATTGATCTACCATATGATCCAGCAATACCACTCTTGGGGATATACCCAAAAGACTGTGACACAGGTTACTCCAGAGGCACCTGCACACCCATGTTTATTGCAGCACTATTCACAGTAACCAAGTTATAGAAACAGCCAAGATGCCCCACTACTGATGAATAGATTAAGAAAATGTGGTATTTATACACAATGGAATTTTAAGCAGCCATGAAGAAGAATGAAATGTTATCATTCGCACGTAAATTGATGGAATTGGAGAACATCATTCTGAGTGAGGTTAGCCTGGCCCAAAAGACCAAAAATCGTATGTTTTCCCTCATATGCGGGCATTAGATCAAGGGCAAACACAATAAGGGGATTGGACTTTGAGCACATGATAAAGCGAGAGCACACAAGGGAGGTATGAGGATAGGTAAGACACCCAAAAACTAGATAGCATTGTTTGCCTCAACGCAGAGAAAACTAAAGCAGATACTTTAAAGCAACTGAGGCCCAATAGGAGAAGGGACCAGGACTGAAGAAAAAGGTTAGTTCGAGAAGAAATTAACTGTAGAAGGTAACACACATGCACAGGAAATCAATGCGAGTCAACTGCCTGTATAGCTATCCTTATCTCAACTAGCAAAAACCCTTGTTCCTTCCTATTATTGCTTATACTCTCTCTACAACAAAATTAGAGATAAGGGCAGAATAGTTTCTGCCTGGTAGCAAGGGGTAAGGGAGTGGAGGTGGGGGGTGGGAAGGTAGGGGGGGTGGGGAGGTGTAAGGGAGGGGGCGGGTGGAAGGGGGGAGAAATGACCCAAACATTGTATGCACATATGAATAAAATAAAAATTAAAAAAAGACTGTTCATTACTCATATTAGAAATTTAATTCACTTTTATATACAATCTTGTATCCTGCACTTTGGTGCACTTGGTAGATTCCCTATGATTTTCTTTTA